CAGGGTTGTAAAGCATGCTTTATCATACTGACTTCCTATGCGTGTATCACTTTTCTTTTTTCCTTCTTTCTCTCTTTCTCTCTCTTTCACTGAAAATTAACTCCCTGCTGTCTCCAGAGCACGTTTTTAAGGATTGCCATGTCCCCTCTGTGCCAAGCAGTAGAGAACGGAGCTAGCAACTTAAAAGTCTGCATTTCCCATGTGTCCACAGTAGAGTACAATTCATTACCTGTTTCCTTAAGTCCTGAGCCGATCTATGAAGAGTGTGGTGGTTGTTAGCAGTGAGCCCTTTCGTAGAGGAGCCAGTGTTTGTAGTAGGATGGTGATTAGCAGCAGCCTGGTCTTTTCGGCTCTCAGCCTTATGTTCGCTGTTCCTCTCCTTCCCTGGTGTGGCCTCTTTGCTTTTGTGTTTCTGAGCAGGTTCTTTCTCCTTCGATGATTTGCTGGACCCATTGAAAACTGAGAAGAGAGAAAATAAGACTATTAAGGCAAAAAAAAGAAAAAAGAAAAAAAAAAAAAAACAACCACATACAAGACCAAACTCTTCATTCAAAACAATCCAACTTTCTCCGCTGTCACTGTTGGATATTTAGTAAGCATCTTCTTACATCGGTTAATACAGAAATAGAAGCACTATTTTACATATTTCTTTACATGAACAGATTTACTAAAGTATTTCCTTTGCTTGTTAACACACATTATCTTCAATATCCAAATTAAAACATACAAGGTATATTACTGTTTTGATTGACCTAAATTTAGACTTATCAGTTTGATTTTTATTTATGACAGTTTTAATTAACTTTTTGCTGTTGCAGCAAGGGAATTCTAAACATAACCTAAACAGAAAAAGGATTCATTTTTACATTAACGTAAAAGAAAGGAAACGTTCCATGAAAAAGCATGTTTTGTTTTCATCAATATCCAATTTGAACCAAACTGACAGCAGTTTGCCTATAGCAGACAAGCTGCAAATAGAAAAAGGTATTTCTGCAAAGAAAGGAATCACTAAAACCATTTTGGAATGCCATATAAAGTAATGCTGGGACCTATGCTGAGGACCCTAGCCTTCTGCTGAAGTGAAGGGATAAGAAAGCACAGAACAGAAACCATATTTTTTGTACAATATTAAGCAAACGTATACAGGTCTGTCGCAGCAAGTTTTGTTCCAGTCCTTCTGCTGAATTTGTTTAAGAATAGTCACTGCTCTTTTGTTGTCAGGGAACACGAAAAGCTGAGGTTAAAAAAAGAAGTCACATTTCTTTGTTTGTTTGTTAATCAAAAATATGGTGAATTTATGTCAGTGTTGCTCCCTTTTCAGTGAAGCACTAGACAGAGATCTGTGAGGCTTGTGATTCAACACCCACAAGGGCAAGCGCCCTCCTGCCTTCTCTACTCATCTACTCTTGTTTTTTACCCCTGCTGTTTTTGCCATGGTTTAGTAAAGGACGTAAATAAGAAAATTCATAAATACTTAATAACACAAGTATCTAAGTATTTATTACACACAACACACGTTATCTCTTTGGGAATATTAGCTAAATTAATTATTGTTTTATTGTGAAATGAAAGCCTTCTTTTGTCACTAAACATGATATACCTACGATACACACCTTTTTATCTAAATTGTGAAGCTTAGCTGTCTCTACAGATGTCCTGTAGTATTACGGTAGTAGTAGCAGTAATACTAATAATAACAACCAACCAACAATCCTGCTGGACAGAAAAGGGGCATCTAAGCTGCTTTTGAGTAGACACCTACCTCCACAACCTTCCCAACCAGCTATCTACCTTCCCACCGCACTTCCAAAAGCTGAAACTCCAGCAAGCTATTGATGAATTTGTTACTCAGGTCACCTATCATATTCAGTCGGTTGTAAGTGTTGAAGCAGATTATGTAAAAAATAAAAAATTGCAATTGCTCTTCCTCCTCTCTTCCTTCCCTCTTACATAAATTGAGTGAGAACAAGAGAAAAGCCGTCGGCAGCGAAGTCACCGCAAATTCCCCAGTGGCTCTGTCACTCCTGAGCTCAGGAGCAACTGGCGCTGCCCCAGCCAGCCAAGGATTTCTCAGTGATTTCAGTGAAATTCGCGTAACCTCCGTGTCTCATTTCCAGTGATGGAACTGATAATAATTGCCAACCCCTCTCGGGGAGTTCACGACAATACATTTATCCTCCTTTGTAAGGAGTTCTCACATCAGATGGAAGGCGCTACAGACGGACGAAGCACGACTATTTATTTTTAATAAGACATGGCACAAACAACCGATGGCAGCTTTGTTAATATGTATTTCATCACTGCGAGTGATACTTTCCTTCAGAGGGAACAAACTGTATATACTGATCTGCTCATACAGAAACGTTAAGTCAGAGAGATTAGTTTTCTGTATTCAGTTGCCACTTTATAAACTGAAAATTACTAAAACAGAAAACACAGCCAAAAAGCCAAATTGTGCACTTTTATGGTTCACCAAAAAAAAAAAAAAAAAACCCACCAGCGAACATGAGACAAGGTATATTTTATATGCAACAGCTCATTAATTTTAAGTGTCGTGGGAACCCTGCCAGTTTTAGCCTCGGAGTAATTATCTTTTGTCTTAATTTGTAAGATTCTTGAAAGGGGGAAGAGAGAAATAGGAGAGAGAAAATGCTCAGTCTCACAGGAAAAGCTTAAAAACCTTAAAGCCTGAAAACACAATAAAAAGGGAGAGACGTAGATGCAAAACAGTCCTAGTCAAGCTGCCTCCAGTTAAACAGTAGATGGTATCAGTTTCTATAAAAATCAGTGTTTGCTTCTTCCAACACCTAGAATATTGTTATATCCAGCTACATAGGCATAAAAGCCTTTCTGCAATAGTAAGTTCTGCAAAATTCACAAATATATGATGTGAACAAGTATCAAAATGTTAACTTGATTAATTACAAAACACTATCACAAGCCAAGCATTTAAGGGGAAAAAGAAAATCCCCTGGACTATGATTCTGCTCCCATCTGAGTAAAAATGTAGAATTAAGTTATTTAGACTTAGAGAGTACAATACAGGGTTAAACTCTGGCCCTAATAGCTAGTAGGACAGTTCAGTGAAAAGATGAAATCACCAGGAAAGACCAAAAAGCCCCCCAAGAAATCTCATTATTGAAGAGTAACTAATAATAAGACAGAAACACCCACTTCTCAAAGGAAAAAGAAAGAATAAACCCCCCAAAACCCAAACCTCTGTATTAAATATTACTGAGACCAAATCTGATTTAACAATAAAATGATTACTAATTCTTTTGTGTCTTCCTATGCAGCAAATTGCATTCTCCTTCATGTCTGGCAGCTCTTCAGTATTTCTGAGGCGTGCAGAAAAGCAAAAAAGGTGTACCTTATGTTTTAACTAAACCCATATATAGGTATGTCCCAGCTACAGTCTCCCATCCTAGAGATAACTCTGATACATGCAATATCCAATGTTCTGCTCCCAGTTTTTTTTTTTTTACTTGTGAAAGACAAGTCAATAAAGGTTTCATCCTTGAAGCAATAATTTCATTAAAAAACCAGAAAGACAGAAAAAAAAGCCCAACCCACACGAGTGGTGAAACTCACATTATTAAAGCAGAAATCTTTTGTAGTCTTGAATTATGATTATTTTATGCTACCTTAACCAGCTCTGTATTTCCAGAACAGTTTTTATTTAAAGGTAAGAGCACTAACAAATAATTAAAAGTGCAGGTAAATTATTAGTGTTCAGACACTTGAAATAGAACAAATGGATATCATTTCATCTGTATCTATCTGAATACTCATTCTCAAAATGCAGTGTCCTCCAAAGCAATTATTATTATTATTAAGCTGAAACAATAAGAGTCCCAGAGTGAAATACTTGTGGGTCTTTTGGTTAGCAGTGATGATCAAATACAAAGAAACTGAAGCACTACATTCAAAACTTGCAAGCACTGGGGGTTTTTAAACCACTGATATAATTTATGGCAGCAGAGCAAAACCTTATGGCAGGCATGATCCCCACGGATGCATCATGGCGCTCTCTGCATCAGGGGAACTGGACCCCGGGCACCAATATTCACCCAGGATCCCATACAGGGACTTGGCGGTACCTCATTTGAAACTGTGATAAAGAACCCCTATGCAAACCAATGCAAACTGTATAAATTGTGTGTGTACTAGGTGCAGCTATAATAATGGCTAAAAAAGTTTTTTGATCAAGTAAAGCCACAGATGTGCTCAATTACTACAGATTAACTAAGCATTTACTACAGGGATTGACACTGTAGTGAGCTATAAACATTTATTGTGTTTTCAGCAATTTTCTGAAGTATTCCTGCAAATTAATTTGCATGCAAATATTTTATAGGATACATCCAGCCAGCCATTCAGAAGCCAATTTATAATACATACAATAATCAGGCTTTCACTGTGTAAGCAGCAGAATTACTGGAGTGGGTTCAGCCAACTGCTGACTCCATGGGCAAAGCTTTCTCTCCAAAGCCCTCCTGCAGATTATCCCTGCACTAGATATGCTTTATACTTGAGATAACAGGGCAGTCCATTGCAGGGACAGCAGAGTACTGATGTATGAACCCTTTTGCTTTATGCCAATGTCCGGAAGATAAAGGCGCGGACCGTACATCTACACATACGCCGCGTGTTGCAGAGCTCGTGCCGCGTAAAGCAAGTGATTGTGCATTCATAAAACTATCCAAAACAAAGAGGGAAGATAAGAGTGAAAGGGAGAATTTTTGTTTTTAGAAGGAGAAAAGGGAGCCTTGCCAATGTTGTGAACCCAAGCCAGCTATTCCAATGCAAACCTCATGTTGTTACATAGATCATGTTTGGGAAGAGATGTAATATTAATCAACTTTCTGGCAATAAGTATCCGTTACTGTATAAAAACATTCTTGCTCTGGCTTTAATTCAGTTTTAAGTCACTGTGAAAACATTTATGTGGCTCTCAAACTGCCTTAAAGGGCCCAGGCAATAATTCTTTTCTCCTCCCGGAGGAACTAAAACAATGATCTACTTCCATAAAACAGCATTTAAATACTGTCAATTGTTTTCCTCAAGTGTTGGGTATGTTCAGACTTCTAGAAACCATATCCAGTGATAGAAGCTGTCTTCTGGAGCCCCCCAACATGATCTACCTACTCAGGGTCAGCAGCAAAGGTGTACTTCAGGAGAAAAGGACACCACAACATCATACAAAAACGTGTGGTACCGCTGTTCCCACACTTCTCCAGCCCTAACCCAATGCTATGCAATCTGTCAGTGGACAACTCTGCAACAAAATTTCCATAGCTGCATGCTAACAGAAGTCAAACAGGAGAACCGTGGCATATAACACTAAATTTCTCTTTGACACTATCAATAACACAGCTCAAAACCCTACACGCACAGGAATATATTGGGCCATTGAGAGGAGCGTTATTGGTATGAGACACCACGCCACCGTTTGCAAA